ATACAGGACGTGCAAAATTCAACAGCAAATTTTCTAAAATATAAAATTAATTTTCTTCTTTTCTTTTTTAAATGGAACACCCTGTATATTATTTTTTTTAGTAAATGGAGAATTAAAAAATTAACATTTTGCGAATTTAAAGTATATCAAAATTTTTTAACGGTTTCGCAGATATTCGCGGTTTTAAATTTCAAATGGCATTTACCAGAATAAACTTTTATCAAAGCCACCCAATGATTTTTTTCTCGTATTTTACCAATGAAAGAGTCATATGAAATAATACCGCGAGTATCTGCGAAGCCGTTAAAACTTTTCAAATGCTCTAAATACAAAAAATGTTAATTTTTTAATTCTCCATCTATTAAAAGAATAATATACAGGGTGTTTCATTTAAAATAACGAAGAAAAATTATTTTATATTTTTGAAAGTTTGGCGTAGAATTTTGAACACCCTGTATGATTTAAGATTACGATATTTATAGCAAAGTAAGTACAGATCATCTAAAGTAAACACCTAATATAGTTTTAATTTCAGGACAGTTCTTGTATTTTTAATATTTTTTTTAAAAAGGCTAAAACATATTTTATTAATTTTTTTATTAATATCTCTGAAACTATCAAAACTTATTTAAAAATATCTTAAGATTATGTACAGTGATCAGAGATGAAGCCAAAAATGTAATAATATACAGGGTGTTCAATTTAAAAAAGATCATCCTGATCCACTCACACTTTTTTGAGTTACATTGTAGAGGTTAAATTATTTTCCTGAAATATATCCTAATACATACTTTAGGTTTGCACTTAAACAAAATTGTTAAGTTATTTATTTTAGGACCTACAGATGCCCGACGCACTATTACCGGACCCTGTATTTCTTGTGGTAATTGGTATAAAACCGGATTCATAAGATTCATATATACAGGGTGCTGAGATGAACCGCCTATTTAAAAATAAACATATTTCTTTAAATTCAAAAACATTCAGTTTTAAGGCACTCTGTATACATAAATAATTATTGATTTTTAAAATATTATTAACCAGAGAGCGAAATCAAGCGACGACCAGAGATGATAGTTGCTAATAGCTATTAGACTACTATTAAACACGCATTGGTGTTTTTTTGGTTTGCAAGTTTTGTAACAAAGAATGTTAGTAAAGGTAAAGTAAATGTTTTCTCATTATTTAACTAGTGTTAACTAAAGCATATAGCTTATTTCTCTGTTGTAATATTCTATGCTAAAGATCCACTTGCATTCCTTATTTATTTCATCTGAGAATTATATGATACAACATGTGTCTGTCTCTAACAAAATCGATTATGCTGTCAATAATTTCAGTTTAAAAGTAATCTCTAAATACAATCGTTTACTGTCCATTCGTGCCGATGTTTGTGGTCCAATGTGAGAATAAGGGCCTTGTTGAGTTTACTAACATTTTTCCTCCGTGCATGGGTGAATCAAAAGGGAAAACAATAAATAGAATAACTCATATCTTATATAGTATCTAATTATAATCTAAAGATACTGGCACCAAAGCTTTAACTTTAGCTTAGAGCTCCGCCACCAGGGTCTCAGTATCTACGGGTGGGGACCCGTAAACTAACAAAAACTCTTCAGTTTTAAACGATATAAATATGCCATGTTTTGAATGTATGATACTACAGACCTTGGTATGAGGACAGTTTTTATATTATTATTATTTCTCTTTTATTAAGGTTCAGGGCAGCATAGTCTGATTCTCTGGAATAGTGACAAGGTTTTCTCTGCCGTGCTCCTTTACTTGTGAATTAAAGATGGAGTACGGCATATTCCTTTCATTTCATTTAATAAAATAAGTAGGGCTATTTACAAATTTAGCGTTTCACTTACATAACCTTCACTTACATAACCTCCTCGAATTTTCAAAAATATTGCTTCTGTCAAGCGCATCCGAGGTAATCACAATAAAAAAATATTTTAAACACAACGTAGGTTCCTTTATTACATTTAAATTGCTTGTTATACAGTTGACCAAAATATCACCTTTTCAACTTTGTTGATGACCCTGGGTTGTTATACAGGGTTCGACGATAGTATGTCAGTGACGAATGTTTGCCAAGCACACTAGTTGTCTAAGCCTGGCTTAAAATTCGAATATCAGAGTACTTCTAAAGAACTTTCATAACCTAAACCCATATCTCGAAATATATGTTATTCACTAAAAATTTTATTGTAAAAGGGTTTTGTTTAGTAAGAGTCTTGTTTAAAATCTGAAATACTACGTAATAAAGATAAATGTCTTTATGGAAAGGTTAATAAAATAACTTCAAAAGCTTTATTTCAGATTATGCCGTTACATATACTCATAAAATAGGCAATAAGAACTATATTATTATTTATCGTCGGTTCTGGTAGGAAATTATCTACATAAATAAATCAAAGTCGTATAGTTGTACAATATAATCGAATAAAATCGGCGTCAGCGATGGCTATGAAATAAAGATCTGTGTCATTTTATACAGGGTCGCTGATATGAAATGAAAATAAAATATACAAGATGCCGAAAAATGTAAATACAAAAGTTATAGGATTTTTAAATATCTATCAGCAAGTAATAAATTTAAGTATACAGGGTCGTCCATAAAGTCGTGGCACACCAAAGTTTGATTTTTTTAAATAGAACCCCCTGTATATTATAACATATTTCAATTTTTCCTTCAATTCTAAGCAAAAATCGAAATACACACAATGTACTTCAAACCAACCGTTTCCGAGTTATTGAGTTTTGAAAATATCACTTAAACAATTCGATTTAATTACTTTCGATGTGTTTGGTTTGATAATATTTATAAAATATTTATAAACCCTATAACTTCTATATTTAACTTTTCGCGGTACCTCCTATATTTTACCTAATAATCGACCGTTTCCATACATAAAAGGGACCCTGTATATAAAATTGTATTGGTAATAGCATCGATCGTCATTTACAAGCCAACGGAACGCCGTTTTTTTCGATCATACGGTACTATTTATAACTTAAGAACATCTGGACGGATTTGAATAAAAAAAAACGTCTATACTTCTATGGAAGATTCACAGAAAATCTACATAATAATTTAGTTATTTTTTATAAACATCGCTGCGTTAATCCAGCGGAGACCAACTTGTCAGCCGTAATTTTCGAATTAACAAATTTACATAACTGACAAATCGGAAGCAAGAAAAAAAACACAAAGAAAAAAAAATATTTAAAATATTTAAATACAACTATTCAAGAACACTTTGGAAAAAATCGAAATAAAAATGAAACTTCTACACCCTGTATCTCCGAAACTAAGCATTTTAGGGCACACATTTTACGACATACTGTTTCACTTATTTTTATCTGCATTATATGCTGCCCAAGTTCTACATGGAATACAGTTCTGACCACCATATAGAGAACAAATACTTAAGGACCAAAATTGTTAAACCGAATTAATCCAGATCAATATCAATCAGTCATCTGTACCACAACATTGACAATACAAAATATATTAGAAATACTTGGAACATTCCTGTACTGCTGCCTGCCAGTAAATTAGCAGTAAGTAAGTTGCAAAGTGTTTCTTATTGTTTCATGTTTTCTGTGATAAACCTGAATTGAAATGGAAACAAAAATATAGAGAAAAATTGATTGGTCCCTACCATTCCAGGGGCGCTATTCTGTACAATCGTCGGTATCGTTAAGTTACCGACAGCTATCGGTACGTGCCAATGAGCGTCGTGTTGATTGTTGTTGTCATAGTTACCGATTGGTCCTTTGGCAGATATCGCAAATTTGTACCGACAACTCTCGGTATCTCTACCGAGAGGTTAACAAGGGCACGCTAGAGATACCGATTTTCGTCAGTACAAATTTGCGATTGACCGATCGGTAACTATGAAAACTAACAATTAACACATTTTTCTATATACAAATACGTACCGAGAGCTGTCGTAACTTACCGATACCGACGATTTTACAGAATAGCGCTCCAGATCATTCGATCGGTGTGTTCATAATTTTTGTGATTAAAACTGTTACAAAAGAATGTAAGTTTAAAATTTGTTAAATTCATACGAAAAGAAATAAATACGGGTAAATAAAGCATAAAGCATCTGGACACTTAAAACAGACATTATAAGGAAACTGCAGATTGCATAACGCTCAATTAAACGAAATATGGTGGGAATAACCAAGAGAGCGTAAAATAATAGAGTGGGTACGACAAAAGACCCAGGTAATAGAGGTCATCCACATAATCAAATCCCTCAAGTGGCAATAAGCAGAACACCTGTTAAGAAGGACGGACAACAGATGGACCACAAAAATTACAGCATGGTACCCACGAGAAATTAAGAAACCTAGAGGAAGACTCAACCTGAGATAGGACCATGCTATTAGGAAATTAGCAGGGATAACTTGGGCCCGCATAGCCAACAATAGATAACAATGGGCCCAACTACAAAGAGAGTATCTAAATATGTGAGGGATTCTACAATATAATTGGAAATTGTTGAATAAGCTGAAAATGATGATGATGATGATGATGATAATAATTTTTGTAGTTAAAACTGCTAAAAAAGCACGTAATTTTAAAAATTGTTAAATGTATACGAAAAGAAATAATTACAGGTATATAAAGCATTAGTTCCATATATTTAAAAATTTCATGTTAAAAAAAATCTAAAAATAAAGACGATATTTAAAAATGCGTTTTCCGATGCGCGTGTCAACTTTCCGTTTAAACCGTTCGCAGAGACGTTTTCTAAATTCAGTCTATGCGCGACAGTTGAACAAGAACGGTCCGTATTGGCCATGCTTCTCCACTAAAAACCTTTACGTAGATTTGCGAGAATATATAAAAGACTCGAAAGAAAAAAAACATTAAAATTGTATAAAATGGTCATCGTATACTAACAAATTATGTAAATAAGAACTAAATTGTGTATTAAGTAAAATATGACAATTATTTTATGTGACTTTTTATTGTGAGTGAAAAAAAAAACTTTGATTGTTTGAACTAAACTTTTGCTTCATCGGTTAAAGGTAATTTTTTTAATCTATGTATTTTTCTCCAAACAGTAGTTTTATATTTATCTACATATTATTTTTAATTTTTATATTTAAAAAGAATATTATTTAGTGAATGTCTTTAAGGTGTTATAAAATGACATAAAATGAATAAACTATTTGTATTAAATTTAAGACAATATAATAAAATATATGATATTTTTAATAGCATTATACAGAGGATAGCAAAAATACTTATAAAAAAGCCATTTAACATATGTAATTTTAAACACTTTAAAATACATCAAAAATTTTGATGTACTTTAAAGTTTAATATATTTTGTTCTAGTGGGTCGATTTTGATGATTTTTTAAGCAATTTGTAGCTAATTTTTTTAAATTTTTAGTATTTTTTTCTAAATTAAAAATTAAAGTTTCCATCTATCACTTATACGAGGGAAAATAAAATGTTGATATTTTGGTGAAAGTTTGAAACACCTTGTGGTATATGTTAACAAGTGTTTTAAAAATATTTTTTTCATCTAGGTACGTGTTTTCTTGGTATTTTTATTGGAGATATTCGCTTCTGAATTAGACAGTAACGATTAACAGCAATTTTAGCATTGATTTTAAGTCCTCCATAAATAAAATAGTGTTTATTGTTTTTGTAGTATTAAAAAAGTTTTAAAAATAGTGTTTAACACCCTGTATGGTCGATTTTCATATTTTTGATTAGAATATAATAAACAAATTTTATTGATAAGCTATAGGTATTATACAGGGTCACTGATATGTATGGGATATTCTTAGGTAAAATATACGAGGTACCGCAAAAACTTAAATACAGAAGTTTTAGGGTTTTTAAATGTCTATTAGCTAGCAGTAATTTTAAGTATATAGACTCGGTCATAAAGTTGTGGCACATCAAACTTAATTTTTTTTAAATTATTTGATATAATCTGATTTAATCATTGATATAATCTGATTTTATACATCTATAAATGCTAACTTGAGAACTAATGTCAAATATTATTAAGTATTATAGTTTACGCAGAATGGCATCATTAAATAGAATTGTTTAAGTTATATTTTCAAAAGTCAGTAACTCTGAAACGGTTGATTTAAGATACATTGTGGTGTATTTCTATTTTTGCTTAGAATTGGAGGAAGAACCGAAATATTCAATAACATACACGGTAACTCGTATATTTTATCTAAAAATCGACCATTCCTATACATATCAGCGACGCTATATATTGCATTAAAAATGCAATACTGATCATTTACACATGATAAGTGATTTTTGTCTTTCAATAAAACTATATATTAGTAAGTATATAGATAAACTGTTTTAATGTATTATATTATTGTTTTTTGATATTTTAATGCGTCAGTTTAATGTTTTGGCATTTTATTCAATAATTCACTTATTAAAATTAATAAATCATTTACGGACAATATGTAATAAGAGTTTTTTGATCTTAACTTTTGACATTTGTGAATATCGGTTAAGGAGTTTTTTTATTGTAATTATTCCACTGGCTTATATATTATTTATCTATTTTAGAATATTAAATGTGTTCTCAGTAAATGTGTTTGTACCTTTTACATTTTTTCTATTTTTATTTAATGTTTTTATAACAAATTATAGAGAAGGGCTTATGCTATGTAGCTCGTGCTTGTCGATAAACCTGCCTCAGTATTGATTTACGTATAATTTATTTAAATCTCGAATTGATTTTTTACATTTTGCGCCGTACCAAAATAACCAAACTTGTTCGTTTTTGTGCACAAAAATATCATAATATTTTACGCGATACTGTAAAAACTGTTAGAGCCTCCGCACATAGGTCGTTTGGCTTTCGAAGTTAGTTTCTTTAGTTGTACCTACTATTATTTACTTAGGAAGTAGAGTTCGAGATGCTTCCGCTTCGAGTTTGAGACAACCCGTGTGTGCACGGTCTTGGATATTGGAAAACATAACGCAATATATTTGCAGCCATTATCAGTATGAACCGACGCCTACAGTTATAGCAGCCCTGGGAGACAATACAAAGTATTAGAGTATTTTTACAAGTTTTTTGTTTATTTGTACACTTAGTTATTACTATTATTTTTTTAATATCCTTATTAATATCTGTTATTATGACTAATATTTATTAAAACCAAGTCTGTATTGTTACTTTTTAACGATTTTTAAATTTTAATATAGAGTTCTAATCAGTGTCGATATGACATTACGACAATAATCACCAAAGCCATCTCGTGATATTAAAAAAAATTGTGTGCACTAAGTGCGCATATTTGAAGTGAAATGTCTTACCTATTAAATTGAAGAATTTGAAGAATATATATATTTTTATAAATGGTTCTTATAAACTTCCAAAAAATTAGAGGTAATATGAACCCGTATACAATTCTAGCTCTATAATTTTATAAAGTTTTTTAATTTTTCTTAAAAAAACGATAATTCTCTACATCTATATCTCTGACTATTAACTAAATAACAATAAGCTACTAAATAACAATTTATTTTGTATGGTCTGTGGTCTGTTTAAATGTTTTGTCCATTATTCATGTTCCGGATTTATTTTTAAATTAATATTAATCGTTAGGCAACCAGTAAACTCATAGAATATGTATTTCTTTTGCATAATCAAAATTATCACTCTAAATCGCTGTCTTTTTTAGACAGATGTCACTTGTCTTGTCATTATTCAATTGATTATTCGAATTCTCAGAAAGTTGTTAACAAAAGTTTCATCTTATAATAAAATTTTAATAAATCACAATTGTTTATCTCCATCATTTACCGCATTAATAATCTAAAGAAGAAATTACAGCTCACTTAAAAATAATTCATTATTTAAAGCGATTTACAGTAATTTTATTAAATTATACAAATATTCTCGTTGATTATTGGGTTGAAATAAATATGATAGTGTCCTCTAATGAAAATCGAAGTAACTAACTCTAAATTCTAATTCTGAGCTGGCTAATGAGCTCGATGCTTTCCCTAGACCGTTATTCAGAAGCTACAAACCTATCGATGAAAATATGCATGAAAATTTACTTCCTAGCAAGGTTGGTACAGTATTAAGTTTATTACATAGACAAACAAATAAAAAGAGACTGGCAAATTAAATGGCAAAGAGAGGGACAACGTTCCCGTAGCGCAACTCAGAAATTTCGTTCTATTTATGTTGATCTGCGCATTGCGTCTATTGGGCCCACTATCTCATTGTAATATAACAAGAGAGAAAGAAGCAGCCATATAAAACGTAATTTCTAAATAGAAATTAGAACAATCGCCTTTCATTTTCGTCATCATGACAATTCGTCATTTTTGTTAATTTTTCTTTTGGTGATTTACCTTTTTTTCTAAACTCTCCATTTTATTGACTTATGAATATGGATAGGGAACAAATTTCGCTAACCCAAATTTCTTTGTTCCATATATATATAGGTATTTATATTTTGTTACTTATAATTTTCGGTTATACTATTTGTTATTTTATTTGCTGCAGGAGCCAGTATCATCTATTTTTTATATGTATTGGTGCCCCCTTTCTCTGATAGATATGTTAAAGACACCCGGTAAAATAAAAGTAAGTAGTTATATTTATCATCTTATTAAGAAAAAGGTAGAAGTAGTAGTGTCAAAAATATTTCGAACCTCTCTTAACATAACAAATTAATACAATTAATTTTTTTCATTTTTTGGGTAGGTAGTTTATAGTTGGTTTATAGTAACCAGAAACTTTATTAATATATCTATTTTACTTTTGTTTTAGGATTAAAACTGGACTTGAAAATGGTTCATGGATCATGATTCTCAATGTAAAGTCTTCTTTGCTTGGATATTCACTTTGTTATTGCAATTAGGCAGTTTTTTCGAAAATGAGATTTTTAATGCCCTTTAAAAAAATTGGCCGATCGTTTCCTGCAACAGTCAGTTCTTTTGCATTTAAAATTGGTAGGTGGGTGGAATAAACACTGTTATTTTTTGTTATTATATTATAAAAAGTTTATTTATTTTTATGTATAAATAAATATGTTTATAAAACAGTACAATTTTTGCATTTTTTATAATTTCCCTTATAATAGTAGTATTCTTTCGTTCTGAAAGAAACTGCAAATTTTCACTTAAACTGATTTATTCCCTACACCACGTTCCCTTTACGTGGTATAGGGAATAAATCAGTTTAAGTGAAAATTTTCAGTTTCAGAATGAAATAATACTACTAATAATGGCTAATTTAATTTTTCCGCCAGCCAGAATGTGCGATAATGTCTTACGATACGTTTTATACCTATTTCTTTCTTTTTCATATAAAGCACACATAATAAAGAAAGATAGCAATAAAGACGTACGTGCTGCCATGGTCCTGCTAATTGGTTTCAAAATTGTTATTCTGAGTTGCGCTACGGGAACGCGGTCCCACTCTTTACCATGGGATTTGTCAGTCTCTTTTTATTTGTTTGTCTATGGTTTATTATAGTCATTTCTTAGCCTTCTGAGTGTATATGCCAACCGTCTAAAATATTATTTTACACATTAAAAGTTTCTGATTTGACTAATATTTAATTCTGCTGCCTGGGACAGGTTCTCTGCGGCAGCCTATTTTCTTTATCATTTCATGTCGAGCGCTTTCGGTTAAATTCAACCCGAACAGAGTATCTTAAGTTCCTCGAAAAAGGTTCATTAATTATTTAGCGGACACCTTTTATCGACCAAATTAGCGAATAGAAAGAAAGGACACGAAATTTAAATCGAACGAAGCTGCCGTAGAATACTGTAGTCATTTAGAGCAACGATGAAAGGTTTTTTGTACAGTGTGATTTAGTTTTTTTAGTCCTTTTTACATGCAAAATATGTCTAAATAAATAAAACAAGTCGGGCGAGTTTCACTATTTATAATTCAAGAACGGCAGGACCGATTTTAATGATCTGTGATTTGTTGGATTCGTCTCCGCATCAAATAACAGAACTATTATAATATTGGAAAAATTCGTGGAAAGAAATACAGGGTGTCC